TCCAGCGATTCCCCATAACATATCAATCATATCTCTCCAGGAAATAATTCCGTTGCAATGATCAAGATATTGATAAAGATTTCCGTTTTCGTAATACTTCATTACGATCATATAACTTGATGTCGGATCTTTTGTAATACCAAACGTTCCAGCTAATGAAGCAGATCGTAGACATTTGTGATATGCTTTAATCTATTAAGAAAAAAAAATATCTTTATAAAGTTAAAAGAGAATAATTTGATAATAGGCTCGTTCAATTCTGATCTGATCGTTCGGGTTTTTTGATCGAAAATCCCTTAACCAATCCTAACATGTGATCAAAATCAAAATTGAGTAAAAGATGATAGTGCTATTTATAAGGATTTTGAAGAGAAATCTACTTTCACGAAACATGCTTTTGGAAAAAAATGCTATGATAAAATCTCAATTTGGAAATATGATGATGATGATGATGATATTGAGACTGAAATTAAAACAATCGAAATGATGAAGAATAATTTAAATGATAATATTGAAAAACTGATAAATAAACTCAACGATCGAAAAAATAGTGATAAGCTTATTGAACGGTTGACCTTGGTAAAATGGCAAATAAGCAATACCGTAAAGATATAGTAAACTTTTTGGGTTGTTGATCAAGTCACAATTTCATCAGCCAATAATTATCAGATCAAAATTCCGAACGATCAGAATTGAACAGGCCTAATAATTCTGGCTGGCACTAAAAATTTGATCATCATACCTGATTAATGTAAGAACTTGAAATGTTTTGTGAATTATCGAGACGTTTCAAAGCAACATTCATTGGCCCAGCTCGAGTCCATTCTTGTGCACCATCATCCCAGATCCATCTAGGTCCTTCCATCCAAAGTGCTGAATAAACGCTACTAAATCCACCTTTACCGACGTATTTAACCATTTCGAATTTCTCAAAGGGGATCCATTCCAAGTAATCACAAGCTTGAGTGGCGTTTAGTTGAGTGTATCGGATTAATTCATCAATCTCTTTATTATTTGATGTCCAATATGGAAAGTTTTCTTTCATGGCATTAGTTTCGCATTCCAAACACCATCCAAAAGAAATTCGAGGTTTACCGCATTCTGGGCAATCTTTAAGTTCTTTTGGAGTAAATTTATTTACTTGTTGATAAGATATATTTTCCTCCATTTTGTCAAAATTATCTAAAATATTAATAAATAAATTATTGTTATTAATTACATAATCACGTGTAACCCGACCGTGAGAGAAAAAGCGTTGATTTTTAAAATCCGAAAAAATTATGAAGGGAACTATGATGTTTATTATATTTATCAAAATTTATTATAAGCCTTTAAATGGAAAATCAATCAGTATTCTAATGATTAATATGTTATAATTTTTCGGACTTATAAATTTACCGATTTCGACTAGTTTGCTAAATTCTTATAAAAGCCAAGATCAGACTTTTTTTCGTAAAAAATAATTAAAATCATGAAGTATATCAAGACGAAATTATTTAAATATTACAGAAATTTGAAGCTATTTATAACATGGCTATATGGAATAAAACTAAAAGTTTGAAAAAAAAAGACTTCGGACTAACCAAGCTAACAGTTAGATAAGAAAAAATACGCGATATTAATAAAGTATCTACCTTTGGTTTCTTTTATTTTAATTTTATCTGGTCATTTTTCTCCAAATTCTTACGATTAATATTTACTTCTTACGGGAGACATTCTCCGCTTAACTCGTTTTTAAGTAACCTCAATAGTTTATTGGTTCTCCATAAATTCCTTTTTGTTTTTAGTTATATAACTCGTGGCAAATTTAGATAGGTACAAATTACGTCAATACAGAAGGATTGGGCTACTTATTTGGACAACAGTGTTGCAAAAGTATCGGACTTGACCCTTCTGAGGGTGTCATCTTGACCCGCTGCATGCACGTTGTCGATCACATATATTTTACAATACTCCATGAATAGGATCGACAACGTGCATGCAGCGGGTCAAGATGACACCCCAGACTATACGGATAAAAAAGGTTGAAAGGGTTGGGGTAACTGAAAAAAAAAGGTAATCTAGTGTGACACAAGATTATCATCTTCTGAGAATACAAAATGAATTTTGGAATACTATTATAAAAATATTTAAGAATAATATAAACTGTGAAAAAATTTTTTCTTTCAGAGTATACATTTATGTTAGATTTAATATTTGAAAATAGGGTTGATCTTATTATTACAAAAATAAAATAAAATAAATAAATAAATAAATAAAATAAAATAATGAAATACATAAAAGTATTTAAAACATTTTGTATCACAAAAAAAAAAAGAAAGAAAGAAAGTTCCATTAGTAAAAATTTCGGACCTAATAATGAAGATAAAAATAATAAAAATTAAAAGAATTATAAATTTGTAATATATTATATTATTTGATCATTCTTTAAGGGTTTGTACCAACTCGATATTGAAATCTATCTCTCTCTTATCTTTTAAATTGCAAGCCACTATAATTCCCTACAAGATTACCTATTTAACAAGGCAAGAAAATTCTTGATTTTTTACAGTATAATATAAGTATCAAAATTTCAAGGTGGTAGTTTTGATTTAAAGACTCATTATTACGTTAACTTAAGACGCAACAACCAATATAGTATATTAAGCTTCTTTCTTTCTCTACTTCGCTTTTTTGTGCTGTATAGTATAAGTTCTTGCCAAGACGCTCTACTGCGCTTTCTTTGTCATAATGTGATTTGATTTAAAGGAGCTCGAAAATTTTGATCGAAAACATTATATAGCAAAATGTACAAAAAAAACTCCGTAATACCAATTTTTGGTGCAATATGAATAAGCCACGGTTTTGAACTTCTATTTTTTGACTTCTTTATTTAAAATTTTTGGTTTGAAACTTTTGTATGAAGCTTTAAACTTCGCGAATGTCTATTTGTTTCTGGTGAATGTGAAATAAAGAATATTATTGGTTTCCATTTTATTGGTTTAGTTTTGAGTCAACAATATCCATATATAGAAATATATCCATTATGTAAATATACACTATTTTTTTTTATTTTTAAATATTAGTTCTTTGTATACTTTGAACAAGTTTAAACGTATGAATAAATAAATCACTCTTTAAACATATCAGATATGGTATTTTAAAGAATATTAGATTGTCTTAAAATAACTGATTTCATATACCGGTAAATTATTTAACCGGTTGTTTATCTGGCACATGACACAACCCCGGTGGACATTTACAATAGTAAAATTTATCTAGGAAGGATACTCTACTCTTAAATTTATTTATTTTTTTTATATAATTAGAGAGTTCAAAGATGAGATTACTAGAAATAGAATTTAATTGACCTTAATTTGTAAGTAAATGAAAGAATGAAAGTAAATTCGAGTCAATTTTACTTATTTATAGTGTTGTTTCATGTGACACTTTTATTAGTTTTATAAATATTAGTATTGATGCCTTTTTTCTCGAAACTTATATGAACAAATTAAAATTTTCATTTACACAATATTAACCATCAATTTTTTAGAAAAATATGCAATAAACATTGCCAAATATCCATTATATCACTTCTAAATAGGTTAAATCGTTAAAGAGCAACTTCCATTATGAAAACTTCATATTTTCTTCTTTATGATTTATTATGATTTAATTATATTTAGAAGTTCTGTAGCAAATACTATCAATCATTTTTTGATTTAATAGAGATTATAATGAACCAGTTAGGAAGTTACGTCAAATTGTCATAAAAAAAAAAGACCGGATCTTTATTTAGATAATTTTTAAGACTTCATGTTTACATTTATTTCTGAAAGAAAGTAAACAAAAAATCTTCAAAAAGAAAGAAGTACGCGACGAAAGTTGTGACACACAATATCTTTTAATATTACACAATTCTTTCTTTGAATCTAAAGCGAATCTAGGGAAATAAAAATTCGTAAATTTATTTAATAAAGGAAAAAACAGATCACAGCGAAGGACTATATACTACGCGTATCGGTTTTACATATGTCTCGTTGTCAATGAGTCGTCAGCGATACGAGCATTTATATTTAGAAACCTTTTTGTAAATTATCCCGCAAATTTTCTGCGATTTTTCATTCGGAATGGAGCCAATACGATATGACATATAAGTATTAAGTACAATAAAATTGAAATATGTCGCAACGTAGCTATTAGTATTGGGTGAATATATATCTATTAGATGCAAAACATTTGTCATGTATTGTATTATATTTCTTAAAATTTATTTATATACGCGGGTTTAATGATATTTATTTTACAATGATAGAAATTTTAATATTGCAATCAGCGTAATCAGCGTTCGGCATTATTTTTATCTACTAGTATATAATTGCTGAAAAATCAGTGGCTCATTTGACGTTCATAGTAAAGTAAAAATAACCTGACAGTATTTATTAGTTAACTTTATTTCTTCATGGAATGGGTATTACGAGTATGAATTTACATTATTTGTCTTGGAGCTAATATATGAAGAAAACTTTCTTATTGGACATCAGGAAATAAAGAGATTGACGAATTAATACAATACACACAACTAAGTTCCGCTTGAAATTTGTGAACGCTTGAAATGGATCCGAAATACTTAGTGCTGATAAGAATGGATTCAATAGTCCCATTCGACTCTTTGGATGGAAAGGATTTGGATAGATTTGGATAAATTTGGGACGACGGTACATAACGACCAGGGCCAATGAATGTTGCTTTGAAACGTCTTGATCATTTACTAAACGTTTCAACATCATCATTAATCATGTAAATCATACTTATCGTAAATTTTCGACCTATTTATATGAGTTATTAACGTTAAAAATCTCGATAAAAATTCACTGTTATAATATTAGGTGTTGATATGACCAAAGTACAACGACATAAATTTTGGCTTATATGCCTTGGGATGTTACTTCATTCCCCGTCTCTTTTCCCTACATTGTCTGAAATATTTGGATCATCATAATTTAAAATAATCCATACTTCTAATTTTTATTTAAATAAAGTACCGTCGGACGTTTTTTTGGATCATCATCCCGACATTGTCGCAATTCTGAATAAAATCTTGGCGTATCCTCAGGGATTTCAAGTCTTTTACCATCGCAAATATCCTTTGCCAAGTAATATCATGTGCTCTATTTAATATACCACGGTCTTTTTCAGGTTGCAAGAGTATTCATAACAATACCATATGAATATATTCCAAGGGCTACTAGTACTATGATTTTCGCCACGTAAAACTTCCGGCGCAACATATGGTAAGACCCCATATCTTTGAATTGCATCATTATTTATGTCATTATCACATAGCCCATGAAGACCAACGTCAGCAATACGAGCATCCGTAGATACCTTTTCGTCTGTTCGACAAGTAAGTTTCCTCCGTGAAGATTTCCGTGAATTTTCCCTCGGAATGGATTCTTTCAAGACCTCCAGTGATACCCCATAACATATCGACCATATCTCTATCTCTCCAAGAATAATTTCATTGCAATGATCAAGATATTGATAAAGATTTCCGTTTTCGTAATACTTCATTACAATCATATAACTTGATGTTGGATCTTTTGTAATACCAAACATTCCAGCTAATGAAGCAGATTGTAGATTTGTGATATGCTCTATCTATTAAACAACAAGCGTTAGTAAAGTTAACGCTAATTTTAGGCATGTGATAATCTCAAAATTTATAATGCCGGACCGAACTATGAAACGTTGATAGTAATTCTGGCTGACACTATCAATTTGATCATCTTGATAATCGAATACTTTATTCAAAGTTAACTTGCGCTGTTATTACTACTTATTTACTTTAAAGTAATTGTGCAATTAATAGAATCCTCTTTAAGATTGAAAAAATATATTAACTTGAAATGTTTTGTGAATTATCAAGAAGTTTTAAAGCAACATTCATTGGTCCAGCTCGAGTCCATTCTTGTGCACCATCATCCCAAATCCATCTAAGTTGAATAAATCTAAACTTGGATAACTTTAATTGAGTGTAGCAAATTAATTCATCAATATCATTATTTCCTGATGTCCGATGAGGAAAATTTTCTTTCATGGTATTAGTATCATAACTCGTAAGTGTCGTATTTCAAGCACCACCCAAAGAAATTCGTGTTTTACTGTATTCTAGACAATCATTCAATTCTTTTAGAATATCCTTGTTGATAAGATAAATCTTCTTGTATATTGATTCAGAAATGTTTAATCTTAAAAGTTAAAATTAATTACTAGTTACACCACGTGATATACTGATCGACAAACGCGCTTGAAAAAGGAAAATTATATGCTACCATATATATCAAAATTTCCTTAAAATGATTTCGACTAGTTTGATATATCAGACTTTTTCTCGTAAAAAAAAAAAATAAAAAGAATTAGGAAAATGTAGAATATTAAAAAATTCGGAAAAAAATAAAAAAAAAAAGAGTGTTATTTAATATATAATGAATGGAACAAGGAATTCGGGTGAAGATTCATAAAATACATATAATACAAGATTTTTGAAAAAAAAGAACAAATTTTATAGATTAAAAATGGTAATATTTGATATCCTAAAATGAATCGGTGTTGTATAGTGTTCAGTTGTATAATGAATGGAATAATAAGTGAAGATACATAAAGTACATTTAATAATTATTTTTTTTTAATAGGCCATAAGTTGATAAAGTTAATGAAAAGAAATTCCATTGAAAAATTCAGTAACTAAAATATTTGTACTTTGTTGTTGAGAAAGGTTCGCGATAAGTCTCGATGTGTTTTCTAAGTTAAGTCGAAAATGACTTCTAATAATTCTTTGTCTTCTTAATTGTTTTTGTCTTTTTTGAGAAGGCATTTTCGTTTTTATGATGTACGTATATTAAGAAGGATAAAAAAAAAATAATATTTGTAGGAAGGGAATGAAAATAAAAGATACATATATATATATACTGTGTGTGTGTATATATAATATAATATATAATGACGTATTTATACAATATTTGAATGTTCAATAATAACTAATCCGAATATGTATATCATCATAGATATTAAATATTTTCTTTTACGCATATTATTGAATATTATTATATTATTTTATAATATATATATCTGTTTTTATTATATTTTAAAAAAGAAAACATGAAGAACGCGTTGAACCGGGGAATTTCACCTATAATTAATTTTAAAAAATTTTTGATAAATGAAATATTTATATTTGGCGTCTTTCGTGAAATTAAACCTTGATTTGCAACGTTTATATTGCACAAAAAAAAGCGAGCAACGTTTATATTACACAAAAAAAGCGAGCCTTATCCTTTTTTGAAAGGTTATGACTTAAACGCGTACTAAAAGAAAAATTAAATAAATCCGATTGTGTTATATAATATAAAATAATATAAATAAAAATTTATTCATTATAAAATGCATAAATGGAAATATAGAACCCTATTCATGGTACGTTGTTATTTGTATATCCCTAATTAGCTATTAATCTATTATCGTTAAATATAACTAATTATGTCACTATTTAAATTCACGAAAAATAAAAATTTAATCGCGTGTAATGTATCAGATAGATTACAGTATATATAAATTATGAACACAAATAAATCCGATTAATTTAATTTAGTAATTTAATTTTAATGGATCGAAACATAATTTATATACAATGAACACGTATATATTTTTTCCGCGCATATTTCTTTATGGATAATCATCGGATCATCTAACGGCATTTAATATAGTGAATATTTTCTAAAGAAAGTTAAATTTGTATCTAATCATCGAAAATCAACCGGCAAAAGTTTTTTTAAGCTTTTTGAGGTTTCATAAATTTTCCATTTATATTTTTAAAATAATTTAATTGCCTATAAACAGCGGTATTTTCATGTATCTTGTCGATCCCGGATGAGCCGTGATTTTTTTTTTTTTTTGTTCTTTTAATTTTTATTTACTTAAATTAGTTGTATCTCTGCAATTTATTATAATTTTAATTAATTGGTGACGTTCAAAAATAAAATGAAGAATAATTTTTTTTGCCTATTTAATAATTATTAACCAAACTTTATTATTCTAGTTATTCAAATATTATTCGTTGAATAATTCTTTTTCTTATCTACTATAAAAAATTCATTTATTAACGAATCCAAATCCGGTTTCTATGGAATAGTGGAATTAATATACCTTAAATTTACATACTTACACATACAACAAAGAATATTTTTAAGCTTTATTTTTATTCGCGTTTATTATTAAAACGTTCACATCAAGTATGGTACATCAGGTTTATCAGATAGTAAACGGATAAAACTTTGATAAACTCTCCATTATAGTTTCTATTTATTTTTTTTTGGCAAGATAATGATATTAAAACAATAACAGCTATTATTAATTGTATAATTCGACATTAAACCTAGTCCTGAAGTACTATTGATATGTGAATAAAAAAAGCTTTGTCTTTTTTTCCTTTCAAAGTTTATAAACTAAAAAGAATCTTTTTTCTAAAAAAAATGATGTAACACCATAATAATACTGTAATAGATTATAAAGTCCGAATTCTCTAATAACCAATACCCATACTTAAATCGTAAATTCAGTTTTATGTAGTAATATGTATGATAACGGCTAATAGCAAAAATTTTTATTGTACCTAAGTTGCGTACCCATATTTGTTATAATACATTTAAAGTTAAATAAATAAAATTCATGAGAAGTAATATGCAATATAGCAGAAATCAAGTATTGCAACAAAGAAATTGAAATTATGATTGTTGTTTTTCAGAACAATGTCAAATAAGCTGTTATGTATTACATAATAAGAAAAAAAAATAAGAATTGTTATTATTCGCCAAATTTTTATTGTACAAAATGCAAAGTAAAAGTAACGTGCAAAAAAATTTTTTTCTTATCCATAATCATTTTTTTCCTTCTTTTATTTTTCACGCATGAATTGGGGATCTCCTTTTTTTTAAAAAAAAATTAATTTTTATTTTTATTTTATTTTATAATTTTTGAGTCACGGAATTCGGATATTTTTCTCTTTTTCAGTCCATTGTAAAGACGGGGCGGTGTTTACCGTTATTACGGCATTCCTACTTTAAAATATTTTGAATATCATTACTTTAATACTTTAATATATCATTTCCATTATGAATTTTGATTAAAAACTATATTTTAAAAATAATTTTTATTATTATTATATAAATTTACATTTTAAAAATGATCGATTAACCGACCGCTTAAAATAGATATTTTTATCAAAAATACGTATCGGCGCAGTAATTACTTTTGTTATATAAATTTCATACACATGATATGCACATTATTATAAAATGGTAACACATATTTCTTATTGAAATTACCATTTTTGATTTTGGTCCCTGAATGTTAAGTTATATTAGGAATTACAAAAAGGGTTTCTTACCTTGTATACATTTTAATAGGATATATTTAGATTTGAGTCATGTTCCATTCTTCATTGATTATTATTATTATTTTTTTATATAAATCAATCATCTTACCCCTTAAAATATTATCTAGTTATATATATTTTCTCAAAAGATATTCGGTAGAGAAAAAACTATAGATGATTAGCATACAAGAAAGTCATTAGATAATTTCGATCAATAGTATACATATAGACCGGCATCGGCATCAACATCATGCGTTGCACAATTAATAAAACTTATGCATTAACTTTGTTCAAATGCCTTATCTGTAATTATCCGCGAAAAAATAATAATTATAACTGATAATAGATTATGAGAATTACCCCATTTTAAATACAAATCCGGTTTTTAAGTTTTTTAATATTTACATTTATGGAATAAAATAGATGTGGGTGAGAATATGATATAAGGGGCATCTTAGGGGGCAACTCATATTATTATTATCACTAATATAATAATTCTTTCTTTCTTTCTTTCTTTCTTTTTTATTTACTTTATGTTATTTTATTTATTATTTATTTATCTATTATTATTTATTACTAAAAGTTTAAACTATATATTATTTTTTTCTTTTAATATTTTAGAAATATCAGGGGTAGTTATATGAAATATTCATTTTACCCTTAAATAAAAAAAAATTTTTTTTTTAAGATTATTGTATAAACCGAAAAGAGATTAAAAATAAAGATTATAAACAAAAAAAGACTAAAAATAAAAAAAAAAACATCCACGCAAATAAAATATTATAAAATAAAATCATGATAGCGTTTCAAATTCTGTATCAAAAAATTGACGGTTTGACAGACAACGCGTTGAAAAATTTTTATAAAACGTTTAATTTAAACTATAAAAGATAAAATATTAGTTACTAAATTAATTTATTTTAAATTTGAAAACGATAAATAAAATATATAAAAATTTATTTAATAAATTAACTAGCCGATTATATAATTATATTATACTAATATAAAACGAATTAAACCAAATAATAACCAGTATTTTTCATATCAATTTAATTTTTAATATACAAAGGTTTATATTTAATATATTCATTGTTATAATTCAATATGATCTATCAAAACAACAATTTTAATATGTTATGTAATATAATGAACATTATTGTAACATTAATAATAATATTCATATGAACTTTGTTTATTTTTCCTCACTGGGTCCGGGTAACAAACAATTATTATTAATTTGTGTAATATACTACTCTAAAATGGCTATTATTACGTTATATTTTTAACTTTTGCATGCTAAAATTGACTATTACGTATACATGTTTTTATTTATTGAATCCTACATTTTTTTCATGTTTATTGATGTATTGATAAAAATCGTTCATGTAAAGTATTTTTTATCCTTTGTTAAAAAAAAAAATTTTAACTTTTGAAAAATTTCGTTTGTTACTGTGTAACATATATTAATTCAAGGGCGATAATTTCATGGTAGCCCGGATCGACATCCCTGGATCTTTGGTTTGTTTACTGTAACATTAGAAACTAATTTTCTGTATCATTTTTTTTATTAATAGAATGCTCGTCTGATAATATAGGACGCTTTTTGTATCTTTAACATTATTGAATTTAAACATTTAACCATCCTTCCCACAAAGTCTATTATATTA